TCCTTGTAACCGCTAGCCACGGGACCCCTTTGCATAATTTTTATCAATGATGAGTGTCACTTCCAGACGGATGTTGCATAATGCCATGTGGTTTTCTCTATACTTGCTTAGGATTGTGGCGTTGGCAGTTTTATTTAATTTCTTTCTGCCTGTAGCTTCCTTCTGTCTTATGCTGGCGCATGGTGAAGGCAGAAGGGCTGCTGTGATCCCTCTAGTGCTGTGAAGTGCAGGGTCCCATGTGTCTGGCAGAACCTCTCCTGAAAGGGGCAGAGAGCATCCTTGTACCCTGACTCAGGGTCAGAAATCCCTGCTAGCAGGGGTTTGTCATCAAATCAATCATAGAAAGGTTTGGGTTGGAAGGGACTTTTAAAAGCATGTAGTCCAACCCCCCTGCAGTGAGCAGGGACATCTTCACAAGAGCAGGTTGCTCAGACCCCTGTCACACCTGACCTTGAATGTTTCCAGGGATGGAACTTCTACCACCTCTCTGGGTGACCTATGGCAGTGTTCTACCACAACAAGCCCTGCTAAAAAGCTTGTCCCTATCTTTCTTAGAGGCCCACTTTAAGCATTGAAAGGCCACAATAAGGAATTTATTCTCAGGGTAAACACTCTTCAGAGCTGGGGTGGCTTTCCTAAAAGTCAGCTGCAGGCTGAGGCAGTTGTCTCAGCTTTCCTTAGCAGGCTTGGGGAGCAGAAATGATGCTGTCCTCTTACAATGCCTGAGATCATCCCTTGTTGTCTCTTTTAGTGTAAATGGATCCTGTGACATTGTCTGGCTGCCCTGTCTGGAAACAAAACTTTATTGCTGCTCTTTTCTTGCTCTTCCCCTATCACTTATTTCTTGAAAGGTGAGACCCTAAGGGGCAAGTTCCTTGCCAGCAGCAGCCACCCTAGTAGTTATCAAATGTAGGGGTCTGTTCTGACCACACACTGTCCCTGCTGTTTCTGGCCGCTCTCAGTGCAGCTCTCACATGCCTGGACTTGTTCCACCTCTGCCTTGTCAGCTGCCTGAATCAGGTCAGTCATGAGAATCCCTCAGCTCTTTCAGCCCTGCTTACAGCCCCTGGGGTCTATTGTGGTTTTTAGACTTTAAATCCCTGGTTTTCTTAGGGACACCCTTGCAAGGCAGTGCCAAAAGTATCTGATAATCCAAGGCTAGTGTTGTGTTTGCTGATTACTGGCTTTCTGGTACCTCTCCCACTCCATGTGAGTTTGTCCTGCTAATCAGCAGTGATTCAGAGATGGCCACAGCCTGGCTTGGGAGGATGTCGGGGGAATCTTAAGGGCCTTTTTGCTTGACTGTACCTGCCTTATCTACCTCTTCCTTACTTATTTGTTCTCTTTTCCCTTTCTCATCTGTGTGCACTAATTTTTGATTGAGTACTTTACCATAACCTCTTGTTTTCTTTATGCGAAGACAAGCCAAAAAGAGGTGTCATCTTTGGCTACTTGCTCCCCTTCCTAACTAATGGGCTTTTTATCTTTTGTTTTTCAGATTTGTAAAGCTGGGTTTTGTGGTCTCCTGTGTTTCCCCCCCCCCCCCATCTCTTGTGTTTCTCTGCTAGATTAGAAAGTCATCTGTTTACAGAGGTCTTTCATTGCAGGAGAAATAAAACCATAAGTCATTTCTTCACTCTCCCTTTACATCAGTTCCTTATATTTAATTCCTTGAATGTACTTAAACACAGTCTACTTTTGCTGAGCTGCAATTTTGTGCAATTCGTTGAAATATCCTTGATTCCAGTTAGAATGGAAAGTATTTCATCAGCATCCAGTAAGAAGTCCCATCCGGCTCTCATCTAAATGGAGAACTGAAAGCTTGGCTAACAACTTCTGCAGCAAAAAGGAAATATTTTTTGCCATTTCCATCAGAAATAATCTTTGCAATGGTGAGATTTTCTGTGGTTCCTACCCAATGACAAGTTTTCCTCTGGTTACTGCTAAAGCCAATGCCCACAGGTCATCACGCTTCTACTTGTCGTTGCGGTGATCTCGGTTTCTAATATTTGTTGGGTGTGGGCTATTTGTTACCACCATCCTGGCATTTGTTTCCCATTGCTACTCTTACCTGTCCTGCTCCTTTTCTCTCTGCTTGGGCAGGCAAAGGGGTTCCCATCAAGCCAGTGTTGCCCACTGCCATTGCTCATCTCTGGCTCTGGGCCCCAAGACTCAGTTCAGATGCCCAAGCCAAGTTCAACTGTGTTTTGGGACTACTCTGCCCAGAAGTATCCCACCCTGGGATTCGGGTAACTCAGCATCTTGTTCCTACAGTGGATCCAGAGAGCAATTGCTGGTTGGCTTCATTATAACAGCCTGTTGCATGCTGATGTCCTCCTCACACTTCTTGTTAACACCAAGCTGGCTCTGATGAGGGTGGGAGAGATGCTAGAGTGAGGTGGTTGCAGAGCAGAAGTCTAGGGCAGGTCTTTGGGAGACATGGGGGTTTTACAGGCAGAGAGGTTCATAAAAACACAAAAGGGTTGTGTCAGCTGAACTCTGAACTTGGGATTCCTCGGCACAGTGAGGACATTTTGAGGTTAGGAGAAACCTCTTAGTGACTCTGCAGTGGCATTAACAGGAAAACTCAGATTTTCAGTCTGAGGAATTTGGCTTTTTCCTTCTGCTTTTGTGTATCGAGTGGCATTTGACAAGCAGGAGCATTACAGCAGGTGCCACCTCTTCTCCAAGCCCTTCACAAATGCCTCAGATGAAGACCCTGGTCACCATTAATTACAAAGGATTTATTCATTTGGTAGCCCCAAGCACAGAGCAGCTTACACAGAAATAGCTGAAATGCTGGATAATGGAGCTGGAGTGGTTGTTTCTGTTCATAACCCATGTCCTGAGGCCAGAGGTCCTCCTGAAGGTCTGGGGTGAGATGATTTACACCCGTTCTCACCTCTGTCCCATCTTTTTCTTCTAAAGGAAAAAATTGTGACCTTTTCTCCTAATCCTGCACCTCCTCTCAAGTGCTAACTCGGAGGGATGCATCCATCAGACCGGGGACCTGTTGGCAGAAGAAGGTTTTCTGGGCAAAAGGCCATTGCAGCCACTGTGAGGTTTTTATCCCTGCATGTGAATGGGGAGCATGGCCCCTGCTGTGGGGTGAGGATGGGCACAGCCATTGCTCAGCATCTTGGTGAGTTAGACTTTTCCCTTGAATCAGGGTGGCAGGAATTAGTCACACCCGAGCGAGGGTCAGGAGGGAGGCGGTGGGGGGCCAGGGGTTTGCGTGGTAGCTGGGAGCTGGGCAGCAAACCTTTTGTGGCACCACAGGGCAGTATCAAGGCAAGGCTGGAAAATAAAAAAAAAATAAAAATTTTTTAAAAAATGGAGGAAGTAGGAAGTTTGGCAACTCTTTCTGGGTGTGCACCCATGGGATTTATCCTCTGGGATTGCAAATGCTGCCCCTTTTCAGTCACGCTACCATCTCCTTGAGGTTTCATCTGCAATGAGCTGATCTCAGTGAGCACCAGCAGAATCCTCTCCTCCCTCCAGCTCCTACTCTTAATGCCCTGTCTCCTGGCACGGGTGTATTTGCTTTTTTGGGGCTAAGCCAGTAGAAAGAGCTTAAATTGGATGAAATTATCCTGCTTGGGAAGAAGTGGGCAAGCAGTAATTACAAAAACTTGACTGCCAAGAGGCTGCAGACTGCAGCCAACACTAAAATCCTTAGAGAGGTGTAAATCCTCTCTTCACCCTGGAGACAGGGAGGGTGGCAGGCTGAGCCTGCTGCTCCAGCCCTGGAGCAGGACAACAGTCAGTCCTTAGAGGCCACCCAGACCTCCGTGTCTCTAACCTTTCCAGCATGATGATGCTGCTTTTGACCGTGTTACCAGCAAAGAGGGATAAATGTGAGACCCTCAGTGACTTCCAGCTTCCACACAACCTCATTCCTACATCATCTTTCCTTTCCTGCATACCCGCCAAGAATCAGTGCTGTCAGTGGAGATGAATGTGTGTGCAATGTGTCCTTACGGAGCTCACTCTGTACCCCTGCTGTGACCAGTGGAGAAGGGTGAAAAGTGGTATGGAATCATGTAATATTGTGAGTTGGAAGGGACCCATAAGGATCGTCGAGTCCAACTCTTGCCCTAGCATAGGACAATCCCAAGATTCAGACCATGTGTCTGAGGGCCTTGGCCAAATGCTTCTGGAATCTTGTCAGGCTTGGTGCCATGAGCACCTCCCTGGGGAGCCTGTTCCAGTGCTCCACCACCCTCTGCCTCAAGAACCTTTTCATCGTGGCCAACCTCACTCTACCCTGCCACATCTTCCTGCCATTTCCTCTGCTCCTGGCGTTGGTTGCCAGAGAGAAGAGATAAGCACCTGCCCCTCCTCTCCTCCTAGTGAGGAAGTTACAGACTGTGATGAGATCTCAGAATCATAGAATGTTGTGAGATTTGTGGCAAAACTGGGGATAAGTTGGGGTTTGGTTCCTGGCAGTGGTTTTCTGCCAGCAGTGGTTGGGGTTGGCCATGCCATGGCATCTGGGCTGGGCTATCCATCCAGAGAGCTCCATGGCCCCCCACACAGTGCTGCTGCTGTTGCGAAGCAAATCCACGCTGAGAGTTTGCTGGTGTTGCTTCTCAGCTGCCTGCTTGGTATGGCCACTGGGGCTCTGACCATGAAGCTTTGTGCCCCAGTTTGGCTCATGGTCGGTGGGATTGTTGGAGCAGCATCAGGGTCAGTGTCATGGGGGCTTGGGCTCCATCCGGTCCCCCTGAGCACCCAAATGGAATGTGAAAGTCGCAGCCTCGTGGCCGGCGCTTCCTCTGTTGCGGTTTCCTTGCCTTCTCCAGCTCAGCAAAATGGGTGATCCTGGCATAATTTCCTCAGTATGATGCGCTCATCTTCCTTCCTCGAAACCTTGTGCCCGCCCAGCGACTGGGGATAAAAGGAGGACATCGCCACAGGGCTCCAGCATGGTGCAGAGGAGAGCCCTGCAGTCCCACAGCTCCAGCCCCGCTTGCAGATCCCTCAGCACTCACAGCACCATGAAGGTCACCACAGCTGCCCTGGTTGCTCTCCTCCTCGTGGCAACTTGCTCCCCGTCCGAGGCGCATCTGGGTGAGTCTGGCTTCACTGCATGCCCCCTGGGACTGGTTGTGCCACCGCTCCATGGGAGCTGCTGGGGCAGCTGGAGAGCCCCATCCCCGTCAGTGGGGACCATTGGGGCTGGGGGGAGGGCTGGGAGCAGGAGATCCCCACCAATGCTGGGACTTGGGCAGGGGGCCAGGGATCTCCTGGGGAGCAACTGCCAAGGAATAGGACACGTGTAGGGGGGGACAGGAGACAGCAAATCCCTGGGGAAGTCCAAGCACTGATGGGGCCAGAGCCTGTGCTGTAGCCTGGGGTCTCACCAGGGCTGTCTGTCTGTCTGTCCTCACAGACGGTGTCCCCACCACCTGCTGCTTCAGCTACCAGCAACGCCCTGTTCCGCGGAGCCTGGTTGTCTCCACCTATATCACCAGCAGCAGCTGTGCCCAGCCAGGAGTGATGTGAGTACCCACTGCTGCTGGGGGGCTTGGGGTGCCATGGGTGGGGCAGTGCCCCTGAGGTGGCTGGGAGGGGGACAAGGACACAGCTGGGGCACTGCCAAGGGGACCTAGCACAGGCAGCTCACCGCCTGGCCAAGAACCCTAACATGGGTTTCCTTCTGGCAGCCTGGTCACCAAGAAGAAGAGGGAGCTGTGTGCGGACCCCCAGGTGCCCTGGGTGCAGGCCCTTCTGAAGCACTTCCAGACTCCGAAGAACTGACCCTTCCCTGCTGCCACCTGTGGTGGCTCTGGTGCTGTCCCTGACTGGCTGGGCTTCCAGCCCCAGGCATGCAAGAGAGGACTTCAACTGCAGCCTTCTTCAACGGGAAAACTTATTCTATTTAACTTATTTAAGTTAAACTAAATATTTTTTGCTAATAAAAGAGAAAATACAAAAATAAATTCTTATTAGTGAGTATCTGCACATTTCTGAGACAGGACTGGGAGGGCAGTTGGGTGTCTGTGTGTCCTGACCTCTTGTTCTTCAGCCCAGGTGCTGGGCGATGGTCCCTATGCCATGGGGCTGCAGCCTGTGTCGGCTGCACTGGTGGGCACTGCAAGAGACAGGGAGAAGATGAGCACAACAAGCCTGTGCCACACGCCCGCCCGCCCTCCCTCCCTCCCTGGATCACAGCCCTGTGCCTGTCCCCAGGTCCCAGATGACTGTGGGGGCCATGTGGCTCTGGGGACCCTGTCCCCCTGCTCACCAGTGCCTGTGCTGCTGCAGTCGTTGCACTCCCAGCTGGACTCCCTCAAGTTGGAACAATGCTGGTGGGTTCCACTGGCCCCACAGGAACTACAGAGGAGAAGTCTCCAGGGTCTAGGGGAGCAATGGGACCCACTGCCACCAAAGGCCTCAAGCTCTGGGCTGCCAGCCCTGCTGTCCCCACCAGCTGGGGCTGAGCTGCTGGCGCCAACCCTGTGCCATGCCCAGCTGGGCATCCCAGGAACCTCCGGCCATGCCCAAAGGAGAAGATGAAAGCATCATCTCCTCACTGGGGCTGTGGGGACCAGAGTCACCAACACTTACCCATTTGCTTCTGCATGTTCCCGTCCCACTGGGCACAGGCACTGGCCGGGGGCACAGGAACTGTGCCGCATGTAATGGTTGGCGAAGGCCCCATCCTCCTCCTCCCAGGCAGCATCCCTGTGGAAGCTGGGAGTGCTCAGCCCTGGGGACCATCTGCCAGCACCCCAGGAGGCAGGAGGGTCACGGAGGGGGAAGGAGGCAGTGGGGAGGGCACTGACCTGTCAGGGATTTTGATACCAAGGCGGAACATCTCTTTCCTGAAGGTGTCCATGTCCCGGCAGAGCGGGCAGCGGAAGTAGTGCAGGGCAGAGCACAGCGCCTGGCCCTGGGACAGAGCTGCCATCAGCACCAGCAGTGGGGGGGTCCCATTCATCCCCCCAGAGCTGAGTGATGACCAAGGTCATCACATCAGGGGCTGGGGACGATGGTACCTACCTGGATGCAGC